AGGAATACTTTGAGATAATTCCTTTATTATATATATATATATATATATATATATATATATATATGAATACTTTTATTGTGTTTCCAGCTCATTTCTAATTAGGCCAATCAAATGTGTGCTTTAGCAGCACATCACAGCAGGAGTTGATCTATTGGTATGCAAATAAAGCGTAATGAGTTTCCAAGCAGTGACACATTGTGATTAGGCCTTGCACAGATCTGACAATAGAAACATTCATCTGCTAAAATAGTGACTATTTATTGCAATTAGTGTGAACAATGAAGTGACAGCTAAAAAAATACACTTTAATATGTGCAAAATAGTATGGAATAATAATGGGGTGAGATCTGTATTTGTGTGTTTCTGTTTATTTTTTTAGGTTGAGCCATATCTGCCTTATGAATACACCTGTGAGGGAATGCTGGAGAGAGTACATTCCTACATCCAGCATCAGGTGAGGTTCAGTAGATGTACATGTGCAAATGTATGGAGCACTGGACAAAACACACACATGCAGAAATTCTCTCTTGCAGTCACTCGTCCTCCCTCTCTCTCTCTCGTCTCTCTCGTCAACTTCTTCGTTCTTCCTCTCTCTCTCTTCTCTCTCTCTTCATGCATACACTCACCAGCTCTCAAACTCCCACTCTGCTCAATATTTCATCATTTTTGTGCATTCAGCACCCAGAACATCTGTATCTCTGCTGTGTTGGTGTGTGTGTGTGTGTGTGTGTGTGTGTGTGTGTGTGTGTGTGTGTGTCAGTGTCTCTATGCTCCATGTATGTGGACTTATGATTAATCTACATGCTAACTCTCATTACGAACCACATATCTGCCCTCCGGCTCTAAAGCAGAGGGTCTGCTGACACTAATGAGGAGGTATGAGTGAGGATATAGAGAAGACGGGCATGATGATGGAGGACTGGAATGAAAGAAAGACTTCCTTTTTAATAATCCCACACTAGATGTCAGACAAACTGCAGTGGGTGTCTCAACAAACCTGTCTACTCCTGACTGGCAGCTGATTTAGACACAGAAACTTCTACTACAGCATTTATACTGTACAAAGAGAAACAGGAGAAACTTAAGCATGATTTTTAGATTCAGCACTTACAGTTGGTCAACTACTACTACAACATCTAATGTACTAAAGAAAATTAGTTTGAAATGCATTAGTAATAATGATACACTGGCCTAACTGTAGCAGCTAAGACTGGCTTAATTAGCACCTTCTTCTAATTTGCTGCCAACTTTCTTGGATGATTTTTGAATTTTATTCACTCCCTTTTGTTGCAATGCAAAATACAGCACGGCTCTTTGAGTTGCCTTGTTGTTGAAAGGTGCGGCACAAATCAACTTACTTTGCATTGTCATGCTCTCAAATGTCCTATACAGATAAATTACACCCCACCCCAGCAGACATATTAATTACCAAAAAACTGTCTTGGAGTAACATCAGCTTTGAATTGTAATCATGCAGTCCGGGCCAGTAAGCACTTTATGATCAGGTAGCTTAACCAGCTATATTGATTGTATATTATTTCGTAAGTTTAACGTTACATGCTCTACTTTGCAGCAACCTGCAGCATATAATACAGGATGTTAGTCGTATTACATACTGTCAGCAGTTATGGAGGTGGAATCGTGGGCAGCAGACACAGCAGTAACTTCACTTTTAAAGGACAGATTCACATTTTTTTACTTCTGACTTTAAACAATAGTCCGTTGGCCACATGTAAATTTAAACAGTTTCTACCAGTTTATATTTGCCACAAAGAGAGCCCTTCTTAAAGAGATTTCAATATAAAGTGATGTGGTACAAAATCTTCGATATAAATATATGAGAATTATTTTTAAAAAAGACTTCTCCTTTCCTATCCTATCCTTCAATCTGCGTTTTACTGAGGTGCGTTATGGTTCTTTCTATAAACACAGTACAGAGTTAGGTATTCCTCTAAGAGTCTACCACAATACTATGATTGCACAAACTAATGCCACATCTTTCACCTCCAGGACTTCTGTGCCCCAGAGCCTCCCTCCATGCCAGCCAACCTTTCCAGACTGGGGTCTACTGGTGGCAGCAGGATTACAGGGCCTCTGTTTGTGCCCCTGCCAAATACCACGGCCCTTGGCTGGGCGTCCAATATGACAGCTCCCCCTGCCTGGCCTCCTCTCAGCTCCCTTAGGCTGCTTGTATCTCAAGAGGGCCAGTCCTGCGTGGAAGCATGCCATTCTGCTGGTTTCATCTGCGAGCCTGCTCACTTCCGCTTCATCAACAACAAAGAGGCCCTGCGCGGGTAAGTCAGCCTGACTTAGTGTCCATTTGAGTTGCATGAGGCCCACCTGGCTGAACACTGCAGACTTACTAACTTGCTGTCTGTCAACTACTACTATTCTCCAAAAACATCATGATGACAATGAATGTTCGACATCTCATCACAAATTTTCTCTCTTCTTCATCCATGGTCAAAAACACTGTCAATCATGTCTCCATAAAATATAAAGACAAATCTGAAACAAGCAGTTTTTGGATATTTTTCCATCTTGTCGTAAAAAAATCAAGATAGATCCCCTAAAAGAAAAAAAATTGCTGTTTCTGTTCTTCTTGTAACTCAGGTCTGTTCTCTGACATAAGTAATATTTGTAACGCTGACATCTCACACCTGCTTCACAGTTTTTCCAACTTACTTGTCACTTTTTTCACTAAATTTCATCGCCTTTTTAAATTGGCATCTGTAGTTCCATGAAAGTGATGAAATGTCGTCGTCCTGTCTCTGCTTTCCGTTTATTTCGAGGTCATGCCGGTTCCACTTTCCTGTTACTTGTCTCAAATAAAAATAACTTTCCTGACTTTTATTTATTATCCTTTTAAGAACATTTTCTCTATGGTTAAACCCAATGAACTGCTACTTTAGGGTGAATACAGACGTGTGCTCCTCTGTTTCACCCCTCAGGTTGGAGGTGCAGTGCGAGGTGGTAGACTCCGAGATCAACCACATCCTCCCAGCCTTCTCAGTGGTGCGGCGAGAGTGTGGCCTTCAGCGGGAACCCCTCCTTTTCAGCTGTGCAGGACACTCCCCCAAATACAGACGTCTTTGCCCCTGTAGGGACTTCCGCCGCGGCCAGGTGGCGCTGTGCAGAGACTGTTTATAATGACAGGGACATGTGAAGGACAGACGAAAGAGAATTAGACGCAGATTGGCGAGGGGAAAAGGGCACCCACAGTCCAGAACGGGTGTAGAGCTGTGACAAACTACCTGATGGTGCAGAAAGCCAGCCCCTCCCCCCCCAAAAAAGAGTAAATGTAGGATGATGAAGAACAGGCATGCATGGATTGGAACTGAATATAGGCCTGAATGGTTGAAAGTGGTTGAGTGTTGTAACAGCTGTTATACTCATATAGTAATTACAACCAGGGGGGTTTGTTAGCATCACACTTTCACATTAATCCTCTGACTACAAGATAATAGTTTTTGCAAGATGTTGACCGGTGATACGATACACAGCATCTCAATTTGGAACTGTGTCTCACCAAAAATAAGGGTTTTAAGATAGAAAATATACACTTGAAGAAGCGTGTGACTGCAGAGAAACTCAGTATTGGGACTATAGTGTCATTCCATGACAGAGACTTCAAATATCTTGGCTTGGAGAAGGCAACCTCGGGTCAATATCCAATCTCCTCTCTGCACTCGGACAAAGGATGATGGACAACCAGGTTATCTCCCCTCGCTTTTTCTCCCCTCCTCCAATGATGGGCAGAGTCATTTATCAGACTGCACCCCAAGTCTGAGGCAACATCGGTCAATGCAATCATCTCTGGTCACAAAAAGAAAGGAGGAGGAGGAGGACAGAGGACAAAGATAAAGGGTACAAGATTATTTTTCAATAAATAAGCCTTTAGAGCTCTCAACTGGATTTTTAAAGAGTCCTCTGGGCTTTGTGATGGAAAAACAAATCAGAAAATAAAAAAATCAGAACGGATCAAAAGTGTTGAGGTGGTTTTTATGTTGTGTCTCGTCTTCACTTTGTTCCTTCTATCTTTTTAGACTGGAATGTTTCTTCTCTTCTTGCTCCTACACCTATCTGTTACAATCCTCCCAGCATTCACTTTCATCTGGATTTTGAAACATTTAATCTTTTTCACATGTCGACACCCAGTACTGGTCGAAGCTGTCGATAAGAGGTGAGGGAGAATGTGACAGAAGGGAAAGGGGGGGCGGGGGTGATCTGAAAGATCTGAATGTCCGCTATTTACTAATAGTCAACAATATGCTTTTACTTTTTAAAGATGGAATACAGAATCTGCAATAATGTCCACTACAATGTTGTCTTGACTTTGGTCATGTGCACATGTACTCCAGACGCAGCTAAGTGCAAAAAGTTTAGTCTGGAGGCAGGTTTAGAGGAAGTGTCCACACCTAAAGTCCATTAAGCCATATTTCTTTTGCCAAGAAATGTGCACAAGAAGGTTTGAGTTACTATAGGTTCATTCATAAGGTTGCTCACGGTTTAGTGCACAGCATGCTAACAAAATAGGGAAAACAAAAGGCAAATAAATTTTCAACTTCCAAAAGCACCTAATGAACAAACAACTGTTAAACCTGTTGAAAAACTATTACGGCTCTTGGCGTCCTGAAGCCGTGTGCGCTGCACATAGCTGATACTAATGACTATGACGCCATCAGTGGGTGTCAGTCTATCATTGACACAGTGCACTCTATACTAAAGAACTGAATTTGCCTTTTATAATATTTGGCCCCCCACACATAGTATTACCCTTTTATGTATTGTTAAAAGCTTCTTTTTTTTGTGAATTTATGTGGTCTTTCCGTTTAGCTCTCCAGCCCACAACTTTACTGTTTTGGTTTACTCTCACAGCTCATATAGTGTTGTTTTCAGAAGCAGCTTTTTTCAAAGAAAAAGCTCTAAAAACACTACCTACTCAGCACAAAGCAGCAGTCAAACACAATTAACAACTAGCTGGGGAACATAGTGGAGCTATGTTAACAGCTAAAGAGCCAGCTATTTCCCTCAGCAGGACATCGTGATTGGAGTTGGTTACCTTGCTATTCAGAACTTGCCGACTACCTGAGAATGACGAAAATAACAAATTCTAGTTTCGGAAAAAGAGTCACGGTCGGCGTTATCCTCCATTACAAATAAATTGTGTTTCCTGTAAAAGTCCACCAAATTAAATTGCAATATTTGTTGTTTGTCCATGTTTTCTGAGCTGACGCCCCTATCAGCAGGACAACATTTGTACGTACAACACTGTCAAACGCTATTTGCTGCAAAAACTCCCTCCACCACCCCAACATCTTCCTTTTTTGTGTTGTTCATTTATGTTTAACCACGTATGTATAACCAGTGACAAGAGACATAAGTGAAATGGACTTATCCTCTAAACATAGCTTTCAATTTCCCCGTCATATGTATGGCTACCAGTGAACACAGCCTAAACCTCATTTTGGTGCAATTATTTTGACATACTGAACTGTGAATGCAGTAAACAGATTTGAGAATGATCCAGAGATTACTTCTTTTTATGAGAGTGATGAAAAAACTAGTTGAGCTGTCCTTCCACATTATATTTTTATACTGGCCTCCAGAGTTTCCCTGTGTGTGGGTCTGCAGTGTCCTGGTTTGTCCAGGTCGATTTATGGCATTATGTCCAGGTGTCCCAAATCGTTGACATCTCTTTCCTCCACATGCTGCAAAAACATCTGTGTTGTATTCTTCCCTGTGCAGGTACAGATTTTATTACCATGAAAACAGGTGATTGCAGCTTTTATTTATTTATTATGTTTTAACATAAAACTTATGCAAAATGCTTAATTCTTGTAGAGTCAAATCGCCATCAGTCGGAGTTTAGATGAGAATTTAATGTAGAAAGTTTAATTTTGATTGATATTGTTTGTTTTGGGTATTTTAGTGAAGCCATCCGTATAATCAATACACAGCTCTTTGATTAACTATTAAATTATGACCCCTGTGTCATACATATCATACGTGTAAAAGTGTGTGCATATGTGTGTGTTAGAGAAACAGAGACGCTCTCTGTCTGAATCCCAGTGACTAAAGCAGAATTCAATGAATAATAAATCACAAGTGTGAATGCCAAAGTAGATTCATCAAATCCTCATTGACCTGCACTTGCATGGGGGGAAAAATGTCACGGCATTCACCAGCTCACTGTGATTTCAATTTAACACCAGAGGCAAGTCAGATTGCAATGAATACTTTTTCATCTCCGCAATTCATCCATCTTCTTAAGTGAAATATTTACAATGATCATAAAAAAGCACTTAGGCCTCATGCAGAAAATCAGTTCTTTCTCTCTATGAACATGGCGCATCAGAGCGGGCAGCAGCCAATAGAAAGGTTCAAAGTAGAAAAATACTAAGTAGAGGGTTAGCAGAAATTAGCATAAACTCCTGTGAATGATGTGTTTCAATCAGCATACATTTGAAAATGAGTGCATTGGTTTCACAGGCTCCTACTCAAAATGGAGGTTTGGGGAGGTGGGCTGCCCTCCTCTGATTAGAGGACATTAACACTGTTTATGTATGTATATATTCACAACATTGATTTGACGCTATGTCAGTGTTGGCCTACGCTATGTCAGGCTGATTTTAAACATTTTCAACCCACAAAATGCAGATATTCATAAATTTGGTAAAAATGTCAATATTAACTGCACCATTGATGTATTTCATCACAGTATCGTCATATAATTTTGCTTGTAGCTCAAAAGCGTGTTTTAGTGTCAAAATTTTGGAAAATACGGTTAGGAGTAGATGAGAAAATTGTTACCATGGTCCGTTTATCATGAAGATGGAGCAGTAGACAGTTATCTTAGCTTAGCATAAAGACTGGAAACAGGGAAATAGCTAGCCTGGCTCCGTCCAATGCCTACCAGCACCTCTAAAGCTGACTATTTCTTGGCTGAGTGTGTGAAGTTGCCACATAACATAAATAAGCGTATTTCCCAAAAATGTCAAAATAGGAAAGAATTGTGGCCATGGTTAAACAAAAAAAATGGCTTTCAGTATGATACAGGACTTTAACAAAGGCCTAAAGAAATTAAATGCTTACTATGCACCTCCCTGACCTTCACACCAGTACTTTTAACTGCTCTGTGTGAACTTTACACTACTTCCTGCTTGGCAAAGAACATAAATTATCAATGCAAATTAACTAAATATGAACGTAAATCATAGGAGACAAGGGTTATGGTCTTGATTTTGGTATCTGCAGGTCGTGTCTGTTTGAGGGACCGTGTACTGTAGATGCAAGCACATGAAACCGAACCGTTGAAGGCTGAGCATGTATACTTTTATTACAACCCTCAGATATTAATTTGAGCCTATAAACTGGAAGTCTTAATCTGCTCTCAGGGTGACTTTCAAACTTTACACATGGCTGCCTATGAACCAGATGGGGATTTTTTCCAACGGCTGCATTTCCTGTTTTTGAAGAACCCCCATTAAAAAACCTCTTGACTTGCCTCAGAAGGACACAGAACGTGTGCGTTTGTGTGTGTAAGAAAGATATGCCGCACAGCATGAGCCTAAACAGTCCTCAAAATGCCTTCAGGCTACCATTCCAGCACATATTTTATTTTTTAGTTGAGTTGAGTTCCCACAATTCATTTTGACTGAAGGCTCCTTCCAGACAGATAGACATAAACCAAACACTTAGTAAAGCAAAAGAAACAAATAACGCACAAACAGCGTGTCATGATTGGATTTAAATGTCAGTGCCAGTGTCTTTATTGGTTTTTATTTATTCTCTGTCTTTTAAAAAAAGACATTTATTTGAACCTTCACCAAGAAGAATTATTATTTTGCCATTAAAACTTCAAAACCCAAAGAATATCCAGAAGCAGTCAGAACCAGTTATCGGTTTTATCATGGTAATATTCACCGCTCAGTATGAAAAATATTTTCCATGATATGCCAGTGAATCCTCAGTGGGAAACATTTACACATAAAATGGCTGATCACTGGCGGAGATGCCTAATCAAGCCCCTTCACTGAAAACAGCTCATCTGCCTTCTGTTTGAAGGAGGTCGATGTGTGACTAAGACTTTCACTAAACAATTATTCCAACGCTGCTTTTTGTTCTCAAACAGAGAGGAGTGTACATGCATAATATTTCATTTTCACTTGTTATTGTCTGTATAAGGATCTACATGCTTCACGTGCATGGTAGCATACTGTGTATCTTTTGTTTGGCTCATAACAAGGAGATGATTGTTCATCCATGCATCTGATGTTAATTAAATTGTATTCTGAATTTGGTTTTAGTGAAGAGTTGTTGGCAACCAACAGCAGCACAAGCTCCAGCACCTGTAGATTTTATAGAACAACATATTAACACTGGCTGTTGGACGCTCAGCAGCCAGACTGTGTGTGCACGTGTGTGTAGAGCTGAAACAATTCATTTATTAGTAAATTGACACAAAATTAATAGAAAGCTGTTTTGATCATCGACAAATCTTTTGAGTAATCTTTCAAGCAAAAACGCTGCTCAACTGTAAGGACTATTGCTTTTCTATTATATTTCCATTAAAACTTTGAGTTTTAAAAATTGTGATGGACATTTTTCAACATTTTCTGAGGTTTTACAGACCAAATAATTAATTGAGAAAATGATTGTCAGATTAATCAACTATGAAAGTGAAAAATTGCAGCCCTAATTAATAAAATAATCTCATACATGAATTTTGTATACACATTCGTAATCTGCAAATAAACCATCAACTTTAGTTGTAAGATAAATGTAGTGGCTAGGGTGACCAGATCCCAACAAAGCAAATGTGGGATAAAGGTTATGTTTGTGTGAGACATTTTTCATATAATGTCTATCTAACTTAAAAATATAAACACAATATAATAACATATAA